GCCTGCCAGAAACAAATGTAAATCTACTTTAAGGGAAAATAACATTACAGGCTTCAAGTTATTTCAACAGTTTTTAAATATATAACAAAAAATGAAAAATAGGAATAAATAAAATATAATAAATAATAAACAAAAATATCATTACATGCCTATTAGAATGGCTAAAATCTGAAACTGATTGTACCAAACCTTGCAAAGATATGGGACAAACAGAAGCTCTCCTTCCTTGTGTGGAATTGGAACATGGTACAGCCATTTTGGAATACACTTTGGTATTTTCTTACAAAGGTAGACATAGCCAAACCATCCCGTCTGGTAAACATGCTCCTAGATATTTATTCAAATGAGTCAAAACTTATGTTCACACACACAAAAACACATAAACTTGGAAGTCAGCAAGATGTTCTTCAGTAGGTGAATGGATTAAAAAAAAAAAATGTGCTACATCCATACAATGGATGTTTTTATTTAGTGATAAAAAAAAAATGAGCTGGCAAGCCATGCAAAGACATGGCAGAACCTTAAGTGCATATTGCTAAATGAAGGAAACCAGTCTGAAAAGACCATATACTATATGAATTCTGTATACTATATGACATTCTGGAAAAGACAAAACTGTGGAGACCAAAAAAAAAAATGCCAGTGATTGCCAGGTGTTGTGGAAGTTGGAATGACTAAATAGAGCACAGGGAATTTGGTGGGGCTTTGAAGCTATTCACTATGATATCACAATAGTGGATACATGACATCATACATTTGGAAACACCTGTAGAACTGTACAACACAAAGAGTGAAACATAATGTCAACTATGGACTTTAGTTCATAATAATGTTTCAATATTAGTTCATTGATTTTAATTATAAGATGTTAATAGTAGAGGAAACTATGAAAGGAGGAAAAGGAGGAATATGTGGGAACTCTCTACTTCCTGTTAAATTTTTCAGTAAACCTAAAACTGCTCCAACTATTTATAAAGAATCATCACCTGGGCCACATGAGGAAATAAGATAGCATCGAAAATCAAGAGAAATAATAACCAATATAAATAGACTCCCCATAGGGGATCCAGGAAATGGAGTTATCAGATACAGACTTTAAAATTGCCATGTTGTTATATGCTTAGAAAACAACAGAAAAACTTGAGAATTCCTCCAGAAAACAAAATCATTAAAATAAATGGCAGTTTTACAACTAAAACACACAATAACTGAATTGTGAACTTAGTGGATAAATTTAACTGTGAATATCATCATCAACTTCAAGATATTACCAGAAATCAATGAAACAAAATATATAATAGAAGAAAATTTAAACGCCAAGAGCTGATTTAAAAAAAAAAATTGGTAAAATTGATAAAGCCTTAGACTCATTTTTTCCTAACTCCTCACAAAATAGGTAGGTAGGTAAACACAGATGCAGGAAGGATATCATGAATGGAAAAGGGGTATCACTATATATATATTTTTTAAGATTTTATTTTTAAGTAATCTCTATACCCAACATGGGGCTTGAATTTACAACCCTGAGATTAAGAGTTGCGTGCTCTACCAATTGAGCCAGGCAGGGTGGCCCCTCTTATAGATAGTGAGACAATAAGAATATTCTAAAAATAACTTATGTAGTTTAGATGAAATGAACAAATTCTTTGAAGAACACCTTAACCAGTACAGGAAGAATTAGGTAATCTGAATAATCCTATATCTGTTAAGGAAATGGAATCCTCAGTTTAAAACCTTCTGTAGGGAAAATGCATGGCTCATTTAGCTTCACTGATAAATTCTTCCAAATACTAGAGAAAGAAATATTTTCTTTCCTTACACAAACTTTCCCAGAAAATAGAAAATAAAGGAAAACATCCCCACTTATTTTATAAGGTTAAAGCCCAACATAGTCATTATAAGAAAAGAAATATTATAAGAAAATATACAAATCTTAAATATTAGCAAATTGAATTCAGTGATGTATAAAAATGATAATATATTATGAAATGTAGGATTTATTCTAGGAATATAAGATAGCTTAACATTCAAAATTGACTAGTATAATTAAACACTGTAACAGAACAAAGGAAAAAGTATTGTGATCTTCTTAACACACACATAAAAATAATTTGACAAAATTTAACACCCTTTCATGATAAACTCTTAACTAAAATAGGAATAGAAGGGATTTTGTATCTACAAAAGTCCTACATCTAATATCGCAGTTATTGATTAAATAGTTAATGCTTCCCTTCACCCACCCAAGTTCAGGAACAAAGCAAGTATGTTCATTATCACCATTTTGTTGCACATTTTATTGGAGGTCCTAGCTATTATAATAAGACAAGAAAAAGAAATAAAAGATTTATAAAGATTGGAAAGGAGGAAGCAAAATTGTCATTCATTTATGACATGTGTATGAATAAAAATACAAATAAATCTATCAAATTATTAATATGTACAATTTGAAAATTGCTGAAAAAAGGTCAAGTAACACATTTTTTTGGTTATCCTATTTCTAGCAATTCTATCAATATTAACTAAATTTACTCATATGAATAATTTTGCTATCCTTGCCTTCTTAGGCTACTACAGCATTTAACAACCTTTTTTTTGAGGTATAATTGACATATACATGTCACTTTCAGGTAGACAGCATAATGATTTGATATTTTTATATATTTTAAAATGATCACAATGATCACAATAAATGAGTCTAGTTAATATCCATCACCATACATATTTTAAAAAACTTTTTTTCTCGTGATGAGAAGTTTTAAGATTTACTCTTTTAGCAACTTCCAAATACACAATACGATATAGTTACCATGCTGTACAATACATCCCTGGGACTTTATAACTAAAGGTTTGTGTCTTTTGACTTCTTTCACCCATTTTGCCCACCCCTCATGCCTCCCCTTTGACAACCACCAATTTTCTTTTTATATCTGTGAGCTTGTTTCATTTGCTTGTTTGTTTAGATTCTCCAGATTGAGGTTATAGAGTATTTTTTCTTTCTCTGCCTGCCATAATATCCTCAGGGTCCATCCATGTTGTCACAAAAAACAAGATTTCCTTCTTTTTTATGACTGAATCATATTCCATTGTGTATAAATTGCTAGATCATATGGTAGTTCTATTTTTAATTTTTTGAGGAACTATCCTACTAATTATGATAGTGGCTGCATCATATATTGTTGGTGGGCATGTAATTAATAGAACCACTTTAGAAAACTGGCAGTATTTAGTAAAGTTGTGACTCACTCCTGAGTGTATACTCAAGAGAAATGAGCATATACATCCCTGAAAACATGTTCAGCAATGTTCATAGAAACTTCATTCAGATTAAATTAAAATTGAAATAACTCTAATTTTCATTAGGAGAATGGGTAAGATATATATTTATAAAATGGATGACAGCATAACAAAGGAAAAGAACTGTGCCATATAATAAAATGGCACAATTAAGACAACATATTGGACAAACAAAAAAGACCCAGATACAGAAGAGTATATACTATATGATTTCTTTTTTTTTTTTTTAATATGGGTAGATTGGTGGATAGACAGAGTCCTAAATTACCTGTAAACATAAATATATACTTATGTTAAGGACAGAAGAGTAGTTCCTTTGCCAGGGTAGAAGGTGGGAGGCAGGAGGCAACCTTTTAGGAGGTTGGAGGATGGGAAGCAATGGGAAACATTAGAAAGAATGCTCAATGCAGTGCTATTTCCCAACTGGAGATAACCCAGCTGGCCCTCAATGGTAGCCTGGGTAGATACATTAAACTATGTGATATTCATAAGTGCAATACAACATGTGGCAATGAACTATTCCTGTAAGCAGTAACATCTCACAATGTGAGTGCAAGAAAAAAAGCCATTTGTAAAAGAACTTGAAAAAGCCTATGATTGGGTGCCTGGATGGCTCAATCGGTTGAGTGTCCGACTTCGGCTCAGGTCATGATCTCACGGTTTGTGAGTTCAAGCCCCACATCGGGCTCTGTGCTGACAGCCAGCTCAGAGTCTGGGGCCTGTCTTTGGATTCTGTGTCCCCTTCTCTCTCTGACCCTCCTCTGCTCACGCTGTCTCTCTCTCTCAGAAATAAATAAATAAATATTAAAAAAAAAGAAAGAAAGTATTAAAAAAATTTTTAAAAAGCCTATGATTCTGGTCATATGAAGTTCAAAAATAGGCAGAGTTAGCTTTGGAAGTAAATTGGTTACCTTTTCAGAGGACAGAAGGGAATAGAGATTGAAAGGAGGAAGGGTAGGGGCACTTGTGGTATGGCCATGCACTTGACCTATGAGGTAATAGTATCAGCATTTGCTTTGTGGTTTCACATTTTGCTTTATATTTACATTCTGTGCATACCTGAAAGGTCTGTAGCTACTAAATGAGTTGTAACATTTATATGTATTTTTCTGTAAAAAAAAAAAACCTCTTTACAAAAATGAAAAAATACTTTTTTAATATGCTACTTCTACATTATATACTGATTTCTCCGTGTTAGAAAATTTTCCCGTTGTAAAGTTTAAATGTTATCTTTTTCACATTTAAAAAGGCATACTTTCAAACTGCAATGGATCCATAATCTAAGCTTTCTGATCTTTTACCGCTTTGATAGCAATCTATCAGTTGTAAGCATCCTTTTCATTTTTAATTTTTAGTTCTTTTTTAAAAGAACTATTTTGGGGAAAATAAAGAACTTGTGATTCCTTATCAGGTGACAGGCAAGCTCATTAATAAAATTTGACTCCTTCCCTTTTTAATATTTTATTTGCAGCAGTTTAGTTATTGATACCCATTTTCTGATTTGGCATTCATAACTATTCTATTTGTACATCTGAAACTTATTTGCAATTTTCAATGAGAATCCCATCAATCTTTTTCTTCTGGTATTCACTGAAAAACTTATCTCTAAGTAAAATTTCTTGTTGAGTAAAATATTCTCTTTATATTCTGTTCAAATAGGTTTTGTATTAAAGTACTTGCTCATGTTGTTTCTTTTTTTCTAGAGAAAATCTCTTCATGAAAACAAATTGAAGAGACTGCAGGAGAAAGTAGAAATCTTAGAGGCAAAGAGAGAAGAATTAGAAACAGAAAACCAGGTGTTGAATAGGTACTGTGTTTATATAAATACAAATCCCATGTAGTGACTTTAATATTATAGAACTTTGATTCTGAGTATAATACACTTTATTTTCTTTTAAAATATATGTTTAGGGGTGCCCAGGTGGCTCAGTTGGTTAAGCATCTGACTCTTGTGTTTGTTTTTTTTAACATGTAACTAATTGTTGTTTTATTTGCAGTTCCCTACTAGAGAGTAACAATATAGGGCTTTTTTTTTTTTTTTTTTAAATAATTTATTAAGTTAGCTATTTTGCAGTGTATATAGTGTAGTCTTGGCTTCGGGAGTAGATTCCCGTGATTTATCACTTACATACAACACCCAGTGCTCATCCCAACAAGTGCCCTCCTCAATGCCTATCTCCCATTTTCCTCGCCCCCTCCCACTCCCCATCCCCATCAACCCTCATCAGTTCTCTGTTTTGAAGAATCTCTTATGGTTTGCCTCTCTCTCTGTTTGTAACTTATTTTTCCTTCCATTCCCCTGTGGTCTTCTGTTAAGTTTCTCAAATTCTACATATACTACCTTTCAGTTCCATCCATGTTGTTACAAATGGCAAGATTTCATCATTTTTCATCACTGAGTAGTATTCCATTGTGTATACATACCATATCTTCTTTATCCATTCATCGGTTGATGGACATTTGAGCTCTTTCCATAATTTAGCTATTGTTGATAGTGCTGCTATAAACATTGGGGTACATGTGCCCCTGTGAATCAGTACTCTTGTATCCTTTGTGTAAATTCTTAGTAGTGCTATTGCTGGGTCATAGGGTAATGCTATTTTTAATTTTGGGGGGAACCTCACACTGTTTTCCAGAGTGTACCAGTTTGCATTCCCAGTGCAAGAGGGTTACCCTCTTGGTTTTGACTCAGGTCATGATTTCATGGTTCGTGGGTTCAAGCCCCTCATCAGGCTCCGTACTGACAGCACAGGGCCTGCTTGGGATATTCTTTCTCTCTCTCTCTCTCTCTGCCCCTACCCTGCTCACATGCACTCTCTCTGAAAATAAATTAAAAAATATACATTCAAAAGAATTCTTTTTTTTTTAATGTTTATTCTTGTGTGTGTGTGTGTGTGTGTGTGTGTGTGAGAGAGAGAGAGAGAACGCGCACGCGTGCGCGCATGAGTGGGGGAGGGGCAGAGAGAGAGGGACACAGAATCTGAAGCAGGCTCCAGGCTCTGTGCTGACTGGGTCTTGAACCCACGAGCCATGAGATCATGACCTGAGCAGAACTCAGACACTTAACTGACTGAGCCACCCAGGTGCCCCATGTTTAAAAATTCTAAACTGTCTGTTATATTTCTATTTCATTATCCTTGTATTTTCCTCCTCCCCCCCTCTCCCCCCCACCCTGGCTGAATATTCCTTCATACCAAAAGATGTTTAACACATGCCAGGCATTTGGTTTATGGTTGGGACTCAGAGGAAAGGTCACGGCTTTGGTAGCCAGGAGTGATGTGATTTCTTAATATGGAAACAAGATACTTGTAGCATTTCATAGTTCCAAAAATGTACATAGAACTTTGAATCAAGATTTTTGATTTCTTGGTATGGAAAATATTGGACCAAAGCTTCTGGATATTCATTTACATTGCAAGCATAGCTAATAATCTGCGTTTTTAGCATTTTCTGAGCAGAGACAGTTTACCTTATTGACTCAATGGTAATGGCATTATAGGACCTATTTGATTGATGTTAATAAAAACTTTTTGGGGCACCTGGGTGGCTCAGTCAGGCATCTTACTGTTAAGCATCTGACTGCTGGTTTTGGCTCAGGTCATGATTCCACAGATTGTGGAATCGAGCCCTGTGTTGGGCTCTGCGCTGATAGTGCATAACCTGCTGGGGATTCTCTCTCACCCTCTCCCTCTGTCTCTCTCTCAAAATAAGTAAATAAACTTTAAAAATAAATAAGTAAAAACTCTACAAATTCAGCTAATTTTAGTGGTAGCCTTCAGCATTTAGAACGTCAGATTTTTCTGTAATGGAAATTGGCTATATCGAGCAGTGATGTTTTATAATGTGCACTGGTCTTCTTGAGTGTAATTATTATCAAAATGGGAACATTTTTTTTTTTAGAACACCCGAAGTTTATAGACTGTGGAATTCATGCCAATTTCATAATACTCTGTTCCAAAGTAAGAAGCCACCAAATTCATTCTAAAACAAAATTTAATTTACTACCTCTTCTCTAACCATTACTTTTGAAATATTGTCAATTCAAGACTGGACAGTTATGGCACAGATCATCTAGACTTTTGAGTGGTTTTGAAGATTATATTTTATTACTGGTGTGGTTGATGGTCAGAAAATTCATGTCCAAAAAGGTGATGGTATGTAAAAGCCTGGAAAGTTACCTTTTTCATCCAAATCATTTTCCCTAAAATTGGGTAACTTCATCTCTGTCATTAGCAATGTTTTTAAAAATTTGGTTGAACAGTATAACATTTTGTATATTTGACCATATTTTACCTATAAAAATGACAGTTTCATAAGATCAACCATTTGATTGCTTCAGTAAAATGAGGCACACCTTTGGTTTAAAGAGTCTTTTAGTTTCAGGATTCATGGGTTGAGAGAGTGGAGTGCAAGTGAAAGTAAAAGTGTCACAAGATTTTTAATCTTTGATTAATTGGCAAGTAAAACTTTAAAATGAATTCATAGCTAGCAGTGCCAACAGTTATACATATGTTTAAGATGTCATGTTTCTGTTTATCTTTCTAGATAAAAAGAATTTGACATATGTATTATATACAGATAAATCTTAGAATTTTAAAGTTCTTTTCTTCCAATTTAAAATTCTGTGAATCATCCTGTTCTTCAACAGAGTATAGCTGTATTAAAGAACAGAAACACTTTTTTTCTTTTTAAGACAAAATGTTCCATTTGAAGAATATACAAGGCTTCAAAAAAGACTAAAGGACATACAGAGAAGACATAATGAATTTCGAAGTTTAATTTTGGTTCCTAACATGCCTCCAACAGCATCCATCAATCCTGTCAGTGTTCAGTCATCAACCATGGTTCCAGGCATGGACCTGTCATTTCCTCCTCATATGCAGGTATGAGCATTTATGTTAAAGAAAAAAAGGGACCAACATTTCTGTTAATTTTTATCTGTTTAAATTCAAAGTTAAAAATTCAAATCTTTCCTTACCATAGAAATGTGCGGGAGAAGCAAAGTGGATTTGACTCTGTTCTACCCTTTAATGATGTTGCTAGGAGTGAAATCTACTGGGCAGTTGAAAAGAAAAAACTTAATCGATGGGTCTTTGACTCACTCAACTACTACTCAGCATTTACTAATACTCTACACTATGCATTTTCCATATGATATTTTATTTAATCCTAATGGAAAATACTTTGAGGGAAGGGTGTTATGATTCCCAGTTCATCGATGAGGAAGCTGAGTCAGAGGTGAAGTGACTTTACCTATAGCTCATAAGTGACAGAGTTGACTGTCAGATGTAAATCTAATTCCAAATTCTGGGCTTGTTCTACTGTATCAGGTTCTTGAGAGATTGAAGGAATCAGATTGATTGGATGGTTTTCAAAAAATGAGCTGTTAATAAGTAATTACATTTTGTAATATTGTAAGCACCAAAGATTTTAGTCACTGAATTGAATTGCAGACCAAGTGCTTTATTTATAATGAACCGCTATTAAACTCCAGCCTTGTTAGAAAGTTGGCAAATGAGTATGCCTGGGCCCTGCATTAGTGAGTTTTATACCTAGATAGGAGAACAGACTTTGGGTTTTGCTTAAGGCTAGAGCCTGAGGCAGGAGAAAAGCAAGGACTAGTTAGTAGTCTCACTCATGCTGCTGTGTTCCTCGGTTGCCGAGATGGCCATCCTTTCCTTACCGGATATTCTAGGGCCCGAGTGAAAGAGGCACTGAGGCTGTTGCCTTAATGGTTCCTTTTCCAGCTATTTTTCTGAAGTTGTTTTTCTTTTTTGTTTTTTTCTTCCGTTTTTGGTGCTTTTAAGGAGGAACAGCATCAAAGGGAACTCTCTCTACTTCGCAAAAGACTAGAAGAACTAGAAACAACACAAAGGAAACAACTAGAGGAACTTGGATCTCCTGGGGAATGATGTTTGAGGAAAAAAGGCAGATCAAAAGGGATGAAATCAGTGCGACTCATAAAGCTTGAAGTTTTAATGTATGTGGCATTTAGATACTGTATTACTGTTTGCCAGAACATTTTAACGTGCCTCAAGAAAAGGTACCAGCTACATTGCATCAGTGTCAGGACTTTAGGATTCTGCTCAGGACAAGTGAAACATTAAAACCCCTCCAGGATGTTTAGAGTATTTATTGACAGCCCTTTTGAGAATGTTAGGGGGGTAAAAAGAATGAATTAGAGAATCAAGTTGTTATTTTATTTATTTCACTTGAATTTTTTTTTTTGGCATTTTACCTGGAATATGCCCATGTTTGATTCCTTCTGCCACTTTAAGATGCTTGGCAGTAATGGGCAGTAAACATTCTGCAGTTTTCTGTATACAAGAGTTCTAAACATTGTTCTTGAAAAAAGATGACAGTTTAAAGGCAGCATTAAAAAACAAAACAAAACTTCGGGATGCCTCAGTGGTTCTGTCAGTTAAAGCGTCCAACTCTTGATTTCAGTTTGGGTCATGATCTCACTGTTGGTGACTTTGAGCTCTTCATCGGGCTCTGTGCTAACAGTGTGGAGCCCACTTAGGATATTCTCTCTAAAAATAAATAAAAACTTAAAAAACTTCAAGACATCTAAATATAAAATGCTACCTTTCTAAAAGCTGTGTGCACATAATTAAAGAGCTTATTTTTCTACATTGTCTTGTGTTTAATTTTATTTTGACCATACCTTGTGTATTTAACAATGTAGAAAAATCTCAGTGTTATTTTCTATTCTAATTCAAAACCACAAAGTACAAATAATTAAATCCTATGATTTAATTAATTAGTTATGTAAAACAAGGGCAATTCATTGTAAAACTTGAACCCAGTGGGGTCCTTTAGAAGTAACATTGCCTCCTACTGTTTTGGATCTAACCAAATTATTATAAATGTTTTATCTCTGTGCATCCCTAACCTCTTTTTAAGGAAGTCTGCTGGAATAACTTCATATCAGCAAGGCGAAGCTCAAATCCTCCAAACTAAGTGGAATGTTCGTTACCCAGAAGTCTTCAGGATCAAAGGTCCAGGTAGATAGTGGAGGAGCAGTCCTTAATATCATTTAAAAGAAACTGGATTTACTTACTACATTATAGAACTGCTTATTCAGATATGCAGTGGCACCTTGTTTCTGAAAAATAATTTCCTTGGGGCCACTTAGAATAAAAAAGTCTATTATAACTAGAACATTTGAAGGGGGAAAAAAAAAAGAAACAGGCCACCTTTACATCAAAATGTTTATTTTTGGATATAGACATTTAAAACATTCATCTCCAAGTACAGCTTCAATCAAGTATACAATAAGAAATAGACTTTAGATTCCTAATACAGAAAAGGTAACAGAATTAATTTTTAAATGCTGCTGTAGACACTAGTGTTTGTTAGGAAAAAAAGTTTATAAATGAATTGTTTGCACCAAAAAAATATGCAAAGAAACTTGAAAATAGAAATTGTTTGCCATTTGTTTCTCTGGTTGCTGTTTAATGTAGACCCAGTGACTGATTGTCTTCAGCACACATCTAATTTGGCCATTTACTGTATTTGGCTAATGTGATCAAAAATGTGATCTAGATCGTGCTTTTCACTGGAGGATTGACAAACACGCTACATACATTAGTGAATCTTCATACCACCTCAGTGAGGTAGGTTAGAAATATACAGAAATTGAGGCACAAAGAGGTAAGTGACTTGCCCAAAGTTCCCAGCAGCATAGTCCCTGGAAGAGGAGGTAACGCTCCACATGGGACTCATGTGCCAGAGAGCTGGACAGGGACACCCTCATGTAGCATTTACTAAATACTTAGATAAAGCTGTAGCTGATCCTTTTCTTAGCATTTCTGTGCCCTAAAGAAGGGGACGTCTTTTGGGCAACTCTCCTACCCTTGGCTCTCAACTGTCCTCCTGTTATTCTCTTATGAATGCCTTCACATCAAGACTGTAGCAGCCTTACACAGGGACCAGACCTCTCACCTTTATACTTGTAAGTAACCTATTTGGTAGTATTTTTGAGGTGTGTCCATTGGACAGACAATGGTCAAAAGTGACGGTATTGGGAAGGTGCTTCTCAGGGCAGTGACTGCTTATTTGATCAGTTTGTTGCAGTATCACCTCTTACTCTTGCAAGAAAAATTTCATTTTCGAAAACCAATTCATATTTAAATCCTGATATCCCATACAGTGTTGGTAAATGATTTCAAGGACTATATGATCAGTGTTTTATTTGCTACTTGAAAAAATATCTTTCCTGAATCTGGGATTTGGAGCACCAAGGGTAAAAGGTGCCACAAGGAAAGTTGAGAGTTGCCAATCACATTTTTTACTTTTAATAGAAGGAAAACACAGTGGTGTTAAAATTGGTCATGAGCAGCAAAAATTCAGGAATAAAAAATCAGCAATAAAAAGACTACAGTATAACTGGATAGGGACTTCTTTAAAAAGAAAGGCATGAATAAAATGAGTATTTTGAATTCTTTCTCTTGTGAGGAATACTTTCATCAAAAAGTACATAGTAAGACTAAGATACCAAGTTGTATACTAATATTTTTCAGGCCTTGGGCCTCAAATATATATATATTCATATATAATACTCCAGTGTGAACAACAATTTCATGAAATGTAAAATGTATTTTTTTTTTTTTAATCACACACAAGTATTTATAACCACAGGGTTCACCAGAAATCTAAAGCAAGGAGACACTAAGTATAGAAACGTAGGATTAGGGGAGTGAGTTACTGTTCTACAGATAGTTTTGATCCAAGTTTTTAGACAGAAATAAACTGGGTTTTTTTTTTTTTTTTTTACAATAGCCAACATGTCCACTATCAAATACATTTAGAATGAAGAAAATGGAAAAAAAAGGAACATACATCAGGACAAAGTGAGTGCTGTTGCATTTAAATAAAGCCTCCTCACTCTCCTTGCTTTAGAGCTCCTTAGTGAAATGGAGGTGAGTCTGATGGAGTGCAGTCGGTGACCACTGAAAAACACGAGCCCTTTCAACAATGTTGCAACACTGTCAGTTTTTGGTTTAAAAACACACACACACACACACACACACACTCACGAATGCTAAGTGTACACACTACCAAATTCTGCGGTCAGCTTTTCCAAGAACTACTGGGGAAAGTTTCAATGCTGCAAATCCTCGAGGTTGCCCTAACACCTCCACCTTGTTTTCAAATGACTCATTTCACATTTTCTTTTGATCATTGGCAGTGTCCCCTTTCTGCAGAGGTGCAGTGTAGTCACAAGTGCTACATAACTGTAGTTTTCAAACAAAACCACTTATTTAATTGTGCTTAAGTGGAGGCTGTAGTTACAATACTAACACTTGCTTACTGGCCCTGTATTCTCTGTAAACAAGGAGGCTGTTTGCAACAACCACTTCAACTCTATTTACAGAAAGGTTCCCACAGGATATGCACAGGCACAAGGTTGGTATGCTTTCTAAAAGCTGTGCATGTGCCTTGGTCTCTAAAAGACAGTGCTCGAAGTGGAACCTATGTGCAAACTTTAAAAATTAACGACACAGAGTAGCTCAAGTAGCCATTTTGCTCCCAAGTCGTCTGAAGAGTTTTGCCAGATTAAGCCAGTCCCCAGAGTGCTTACATCCACTTGCATTTCTTCTTTTCATCAAATAAGACTTTTACATGCAAGAGTTGTTTCTGAGCTTCTTCCAGCCCTCGTTCTCTTTCTAGTTTATTTAGAATCTGTTGACAATTAGAACAGTTATTTTAGATATTGTGGTTTTAGCATTACAATTCGGGTTTTTTTGCATTCCTGATGCTGTGAGTGGTAAAATCTGTATGAAACAGATGCCAACATTTTCTTCGATCATTTACATACTCACTTTGCAAGTTGTTTTGCTAAGTCATTATCACAGGATCAACAACACTTTGGCTTAAAATAGAAGCTAGCAAGAAATACCAACTATTTGCTTACAAATATGGGGCCAGACTTTGCAGGCCCTGATTTATGCATTATGTCACAGCCATTCCAAGCACAGCAAGCATTCTGGGCAGCCAACATGCAGGCACGTATTTCTTCTTAAATGCAGCAGGCAGGGGCATCCTGGTCAGAGTTGAATATTTCCCTCCCCTCCTCTCCCCCCATCCCTCCCCAATGCTTCCCTTCTAACCCCTGGCCCCTGGAAAGAGGGATGCTTATCATGTTTAAGGAACTCATTGCCTCTACCCTACCTTAGCGCTTCACTTGATCTTCAAGTAGCAAATGGAATTGGTGAGCTATTCTCACCATTGACATGGATAGCCTGTCCCAGCATGACTGAGTGGGGGGGAATCAGGGAAGGGGGAATTAACATATATTTGGAAACAGCGCATCTGATGATTGTGTCTGTGTGAATTCCCAAAGAAAAAAATCCAGATTAAGGAGAATTAATCATAAAGGAGAATGGTTTATTGAAATAGTTGCTTAAATTAGAAATATGTTATACTTTCATATACCTATTGAATACAGAATCTAGGCAGTTTAACAAGCTTAGCTTTCATTTCAGCAGATTACAATCAAGCATAAGCTGGCCCTATTTAACAGGACCACAACTTACTTATCAAAGTTATCTTGAGTCAGTGTGGCTATAGACCCCATTAACTCAAATGTAAATTCAGGCTGGTCCAAAGGTGGGCAGCATGATAAAACTGTAAGAGGGGCAGCCACGTGCAGGGTCTGGCTGGGTGCCAGGGTCCCCCATCTCAGACAGGCTTCCTGGCTTCCCTTTCTGGCCATTAGGGGTGCCAGAGCTGTCCTGAGACCTGTAGAATGCTTTACAACCAAATCCTGGTGACTGATTCACATCAATTTTTTTTAAATGTTGTTTAAAATCTTACCTCATCAAAATATTTTACGATGTATTTGTAAATTTCTGTCAAGGCCACTTCTTCATTAAATTCATTTTCATGTTTCTTAAAGAAAGAAAGTCTTGTTGAGAGATTCTGAAATGACTTTTCAAAAAAGAAGTAACAAGTATTATCTTATTTCTACTTTCTAGCAATACCTTAGATTCCTGAGTTAAGAATTCTTCCATTTCCAAAGATGACAATGGAGGCAAATCCCTGATTGCTTTGTAATAAGATTTTACTTCCTCTTTGTAGGTTGGGATATCCTTAGCATAGAGAAGTTTATTAGTTGGTGCTTCCTGGAAAAAAAAAAACAAGCATCCATGGCCAAGAGTAAAAAACTATAAGGAATTTATAATAGTACCAATGTAGCTGAACCCCTACCACTATCATTACCTCCTAGTAACAAAGCTTTTTAATGCAGTGGGCCTTCATAAATGTTGTTGATTGAATGACTGACTGCTATCCAGATAGTTCTGGTGAGTCACTGTTATTTTCAGGCAGATTAAATGCTAATATATTCTGCCTTCCTCTCATAAAGAACTAAAATTATTATTTTTGCATGATTTTGAGTTACTGTAACAATGGAACTTATTTCAGTCATAGTTCATTACTAATGGTTGTAAAAAGCCTGAATTAAAACACTTGCTCTCATCTTCACCCACCAGTGAATTTTGGCATTTATAAAAGACTTGATTGTAGGTCTGATTGAGCCCTTTATGTAACAAAGAAAGTGGTAAGTAGTTGGCGGTGGTGGATTTTTCTTCTTGTCCCTTTTATTAGATTATAAAAATCTTCCAGCATTCTCAAGGAAGTATATGATGTTGGGGGCTCTGATGTCTGACTTCACAAAAGTTTCCTGTCAGTTTGAATGTTTTTATATAATAGTTATAATTTTAAAAATTCCTACTCCGGGAAGATAGCTGAGTTAATGATAGGGCTAATGTCCCAGTACATTTTTAAATGTATTGAGGGCATGAATAGCCATATTAATGGTTGAATCATTTTGAAGGATGCCTACACTGAGATATTACTGAGATTTTTTGCACTTGTCCAGTTTAAGTAGAACTCACAAGTCCTGTGATCATTCACTCAATAAAATGTATTTAGCTAGGCACTGTGGCAGGCATTGAATGTAAAAAGCAAAGACGACCAGTACCTGCCCTTAAGAAGCTTCTAATCTAGTTGGGAAGACAAACTTCCACAGTGCTTACTATGATACCAGTAATTAGTAGCAGGGTGTAAAGAAAAGCACTGTGGAGTTGGACAAATCAGGGATCATAACCAAGACTTGTATCCTCTCAGAACTGATGTTCTGATTTCTTCATCCATAAAGTGAGGGTAATAATAACTACCTTATGT